ATAGTAGAGAGTATAACATGAACATTATAGAGAGGGAGTGGTTTTTGGCAGCAGCGGGACACCAGTGCCAAGTGTCGCTGCCCCAGTGCTCTTTCATCTGAGCACTGTCACTGCCCCGCACAGAGACCGCGGGGCAGGCACAAGCGCAGGCGGCGCACGCTCAGAAGGGCCTCGCTTTGCCCATGGGCCGTGAACTTCAGCTGTAGGTCGGCACACAGGGCCAGGACAGGTGAATGGCTGTCACTGCCTCAGTCTCTGCCCTCGTAGGGGAGGAAGGTGAGGGCCTTCTGGTTCCAGTGGAAGCGCCAACCCACGGCAGAGTTTGTCGCTGGCTCTGCTGGCGAGCGTTGTGCCAGTACAGCCTCCGACCCGAAACCGACGGGAGAAAAGATGGCAATTCCAGACTTTCTCCCCCTACATTCACATATCATTTCAGACACTGACATAAATATTCTATTCTATTCTATCATCTGAACCTGTTTAAGTGGATAGTTTCATAGGCTAACAGATAAACGCCCAATCTTTTTTGAAAGGGGCAGCCTTGCTGAAATAACAGGAAAATACCTAATCCTGCAATTTCCTAATAACAGCTAAAGATCAATCATGAGCTCTCTCCCTGCTCTCTGCTCTTTCTCTTGCTAACTGACTAGCTGGCAGGCTTTCCTGACATCTGAAAAGAGCCTAAACAGACAGAAAGGAAATATAGTTCTTTCTCTTTAAAACTGCCGTTGGGCACCTACCACAGGCCTCAGTCTTTTCCCCAGGGACAGAATCAATGACAAGACCTCAAGGTGAGTGACAAGCCCATCTGCCCTTCTGTTATCTTCCTGCTGCGAAGAGGAGGGGCATCAGTGCTCACAGCACCGTTAAATTGGCTGCAACCATAAATCGTCCTCACGCCCTTTTTACAATTCCTAAATAAAAAGCCTGAATACATGATTCTCTTCCCAACACACTCTTCCTCTTCCTCTCTGTTACCATGTTGGCCCTTTTTCACTTGGGAAAAGTAAAACTTCTTTCTATCCTAAACTTTGGAGAATCTCAAAGCCCGCATGCACTAGCTGTGCACCAGCACTCCACCCTAACATTTTTATCGAAAAAAACAAAAAACGCCAGAACCTTCCACTGACTTGTAACTCACACCCTCTGATTGTACATCTTCTTTAATATTATAGAAGACATCCTTGTTAGTTTTTATCCAAAATACCCTATTTAACACCGGTGTCAATTTTTTTTTTAGACAGAGTCTCACTTTTGTTGCCCAGGCTAGAGTGAGTGCCGTGGCGTCAGCCTAGCTCACAGCAACCTCAAACTCCTGGGCTCAAGCGATCCTCCTGCCTCAGCCTCCCGAGTAGCTAGGACTACAGGCATGCACCACCATGCCCGGCTATTTTTTTGTATATGTACTTTTAGTTGGTCAATTAATTTCTTTCTATTTTTAGTAGAGACGGGGTCTCGCTCAGGCTGGTTTCGAACTCCTGACCTTGAACAATCCGCCCGCCTCGGCCTCCCAGAGTGCTAGGATTACAGGCGTGAGCCACCACGCCCGGCCAGGTGTCAAATTTAATTGGTTTAATTACTTCCATCCATGGGGCAGCATGATTTTTGAACTTTCTGAGCTATCTATAGCTATCTGATACAACTCTCAGATTTTTATTTTAATACATTTTTACCAACATTAGAGGCCTCTCTTGGTGCCCTTTTTGATGTATGTGTACATCCTCCCCAAAACAAACAAAAAACCAAAAGAAAACCCTGCCTCCCCCCTCCCCACGGCCTTACTGGAGCGTGGTGGCAGGCTCGGTGGAGGTGGTCGCCACTCATCCTCACGCAGTCTGAAGTGCGCTCCATCCAAGGTGGCTCCTCCCTTTGCAACCCAACTGCCAACACGCCGCTTTTAAGGGAACCTCCCTCCCCCTCCCTCCCTCAAGTGAGAGCCCGTGCAGGAGCTGCCCACGTGAGCTCGGCGTTGCACCGTGCACACCTGCCCCGCTGGCACAGCTTTCTGGAAACCCTCACCATCACTGCACTAGGTAAGACCTCTCTCCCCAAACAGAGCACAAGTGTCCCCCAGGCCCAGCCGCACACTGAGTGGTCAGGGCCTGTCCTGCAGCCACCGTCTCAGGGGACAGGGCATTCGGGGAGCAGGAGGGACCAGCAGTCCCTTTTGGGAGCAGCCTGTGGGTGGCAACTAACAAACAGAGTCCTAGGCTCGGAACACCAACTCAAGGCGACTGTGAAACCAAACAGAACTTCAAATGAAAAATTCCAGCTCTCCAGCACCGACTCGCCACAGACCTGCAATCTCCCCGTGCTGGCTGGGGGGCTCCCCAAGGGCAGTGAGACAGACTCAGAGGAAATTCAATCCTACGTGGAGCAAACAGGGGCCCTGTCCCATAAGGACAAAGAAAACCAGCCCACCACGACACCTGCCTGTCCAGCCACAGGCTGCCACGGCTGCCGGAGGCCGCAGGGCAGCTGGCGGCTCCGTGCCCGGGAATCACGGATCAGAGGAGACAGACGCTTTGGTCATCAGGAAGCAAAGCCGGCGGTTCAGGGCCTGAACACAAACGCCGACAGGCCCGCCATCCCCGGCAGATCCGCACTGGCTGCGGGCGAAGCAGCCAGCCGTCGGGACGACCGTGCGGAACATGGCGGGCACCGCGCTTTCAGGAAGACGCGTGCTCAGGGGCGTGAGCTCACACCCGTCAAAGGTGTTAAATAGGGTATTTTGGATAAAAACTAACAAGGATGTCTTCTATAATATTAAAGAAGATGTACAATCAGAGGGTGTGAGTTACAAGTCAGTGGAAGGTTCTGGCGTTTTTTGGCTTTTTCAATAAAGATGTCAAAGCGGAGGGAACAGACACCCGTGCGGCGGGCTGTGGCCGCGGCTGGTCCTCCCTCTGCTGGACAGCAAACACCAAGGTCCTCTCCTCTACAGCTCCCTCAGGACCAAGGGCCTGGGTGTGCTCCTCCACCTGGGCAGCTTTAAATGCCACCTGTCCCCGCCCTGTCTGGCACAGCCGCCACTCATGCCGTGTGGCCACATAAGTTAAAATTAATTAAAGTTGAAATTAAAAATTCAGTTCTTCCATCACAGTGGTCACATTTAAAGTGCTCAACAGCCCGTGGTTGGTGGCTGCCAGCAGCCAGGGCGGTCACTCGCGGTGGGCCCTCTCCAGGCCGGCTCTCCCACCCGGGCGGGTCTGTCGTGCAGCCACCGACAGGGCCGCCTGTGTGTTTCCCAGGCAGCCCGGACATAGCATGACTTGGACACGACTTCTCTCCCCCCAAAATATTTATTAATCTTGTCCAACCTGCTTCACAGATTACAAACAAAGCACCCTATGTAAAGGTGCTTTAAGATTTTAGCACACTCTGAGACAGTTAATTCTACATGTCAATGTGCATCAAAAGCAGATAGATGCGCGCGCACACACATACACACACCCTGCTGGTTCACTGCTGTGACAACCCTAACACCTTAAAAATCAAATCACTTTGCTCAGTTATTATCATTGCCATGACCATTTTTTGGACTTTATTTAAATTATGATATGGGGGAATCAAAATGGAACTTTTAAAGATGCCCCCCATCTCAGAAGATGCGCTGTCAAACTAGGCACCTGGGAGCTGTCCCTGACTCCTTCCTTTTCTCGTCACCTACAACCACTCTGTCACAGGGTCCTGCAGCTAAGACACGTCCCAAATCTTCCCTACCACCCTAGTCCCAGCCAGCAGTACAGCTGAGGACACTGGGCACTCCCATGAACTATGGCAACAGCTGCCTAGCTGGCCACTCCTCTTTCATTCTTGTTCCCTTTCCAGTTCACCCTTTCACATGACAGCCAGAGAGACCTTTTGAAGACCTCTGGTCTCCGACCTGCCGAGACCCCCACGCGCTCCCACAGCCCTGCTTCTCTCTTCACGACTTACAACTGCTCGTTTACGATTCGACCTGCTGTGAGTTGAGCTGCCTGCTTACTGTCTGTCTACCTCATGAGGGCACAGAAATGTCTCTGCTGTCCACTGTCGTCTTTGCCACTGTATGCGAGATAATTCCTGGCAAGAAATTCTTGCTGGTTGGCTGAGGGCAGGGTCTAGTATAGCATTTTCCAAAGTACATTCTGTGGAATATTTGTAGGATGTTCTAGGTCAGGGGTTGGCAAACTACTGTTCATGAGCCAAATCTGGGCCAAATTTGCCTGTTGTTTTAAAAAATATATTTTTATTTTAAAAAATTTATTACAGATTTTCCACTTCACAGAAAAAAATTGCCTGTTTTTGTAAATAAAGTTTTATTGGTACACAGCCATGCCCATTCATTCACAAATTGTCAATAGTCACTTTACCCCAATGGTAGAGTTGAGCTGTGACAGAGACCAACTGACCCACAAAACTTACTGCTTGGCTCTTAGGAACTTTGCCAACCCTTTTTATAGGTGATTATAGTAAAATAAATTAAGTTAAAAGTTACGTGGATCCGATATTTGTTGGGTTAAACAAAATCTCGTCAATTTCTCTAATTGTAGGACTTCTTGAAGTTTTTAATGTGTGATGTGCATTGTGCTTTCTAAAAATGTGATATATTAATAATAAATAGTTTCTCAAGCTTATATAAGAGCAGGAAACTCTTTTTGGTAGTGCTTGTTGGTTCTCTCTAATAGACTTGGAAAAATGCTGGCCAAGGTCTTAACCATGAAGGTGAGATTCCATCAGGGCTTTCTCTGGAAAGCAGCCACAGGAACTTCCCAGTGGCCTCAGGAATCTAGTCTTCACTGCTTTTTTCTAGGAAACACGGGCTGTTGAGAAGGGAAACTGAGAAGCACTTGCTGAGGATGGGAGTCCAATGAGCAGTCACCCGTTTGGTAGTTATCTGTGCGCAGTATCGTCGTCCCAACTTCAGCTCCAGGTCTACAAAGCCCTCCCTGACTGGGAGGCAACAGCCAGGAGTTCCCATGGCTCCTCTTGTAAGCAAGAAAGTGGGGGCGACTTACTTTCTCCTGACTGTTCAGCTCCTGGTAGGGGATGTGGGCAGGCAGGTAGGTGTGGAGCAGAGCACAGAAGGCCAGGCCGTCGCTCCAGCTGCTGCTGAAGTTGGTGATGTCGATGTTCTGTGAGGAGGAAAAGCAGGATTCACCAAACATCAAGGATTTGAGGGAAAACTGTGATAAGATGGAAACCCATCTGTGATTTTCAAGTCAGGCAACATCAGAATAAACTACCCAAATCTGCTGGTAGTCCATCTCATTTTGGTACTATGAATGGCCTGGGGTTGGCCAAATCCATCCACAGAATAGCATGACAAAAAGGCTTCAAACAATAGGGAATTTCTGTCTGCCCCAAGGGAGAGTCATTAAAGGCTCCGATATATCCTATTGTCAAACTAGCCCATCTGACTGACTCTGTAGATCCCAGCATTCCCCAGCCTTATTTGGTCAAGGAAGAACCACCGTCAGGACCACCCCCAGCATCGTCGTCTATGTAAAGCCCGATTACAAGCAGACTGAAATAACATCTTAAAGGCCCACATGGCCAGTCTATGGCTGGTTCCTGCTACCACATTTTTCTCCCCACGACTTGGGAGGCTTCCCAGGGAAGGAGAAAACCCTGCCTGCTCAGCACGTCTGTGCCAGCACACTGAAGGAGCAGGCTCCACAGGCATCCCTCCTTCAGGACAGGGCGCACGCTGAGAGGGAAACCCAAGCCCAGCTTTAAATCCAGGCCCGTGGAGAGGATGGCCGATGAAGCTCCCGGACAGGTCCCCAGGCCACCTGGGGACTGCAGCACACCTCGACCTCTTAGACCCCCAGAGCTGTCACCCACCTGCTGACCCGAGCACAGTTTTCTTCCTTGGATCTGCAAAGCTTGTCCCCAGTGAAATGCCAGGTTCCGAAGCCCACTGACGCCACATGACGCAGCGCCGGGAGGCCACGAGGGGTGCGGAAGTGCGCATGCTCAGGCCTGGCTGAGTCTTAAGTCTGTGTTCGGAGCACTTAGGGGGCAGTAAGAGGAACTGGGCAAGACCAGGGCTCCTTCCTGCAATCTCCCCACACCCACTGGGGGTCGTCCTCCTCCTCCTCCTAACACCCGTCCTGGGGGAAGGGCAGCCAGCAAAGGACGGCGGGCAACTGTAATGAGTTGAGGCTAAACTCTGGTGGGATCAAAGCCGTGGTTGAAAAAGAATCAAACAAAATGACTTGTAAGCTCAGGAGAGCTCAGAGGGCCTGGATACTTGGGGACAGACTGTGGCTCATGGCCTGTCTGGGGGCGCGGGGGGGGGGGGGGGGGCGGCTGTATCTCCCCACAGACCTTTGTACTTCAGCCGTAAGAACACACAGAAAACCAAGCGAGGAAAAGGAGAAAGAGTCCTTTCAAAAAAAAGGAATTATTATAAAAATTCCAATCTAGTCATATAAACAAACCCAACATCTTTCTCAGGAAATGCTTCTCTTACATATGAACGATATTCTCCCTGTCTCAGACTCCGATTGCTCTGGCACTGGCAGAGACCGCGTGCAGCCAGCGATGATCTGTGATATTACACTCACTCCCAGAACATCGCACTATGAAGCAGAAACACTGCCCTTTTATCTCTGAGTGGAACAACGCCAATTCTGCTCCCTCACTGCCATTTGAAATTGTCCCTAATTCTATTTGAGCAAAAAGAGTATCAACAGCTGCCAGCTCCACACAGTTGGCTGGACAATTAAAAACATGTACATTTATGACATCTCAAGTAAGAGGATGAATAGCAACCTGCAAAGTGCTATCTACACCTCAGCGGTTGATTTGCTGCTATTTTTATTACCAAAGTGGTTTCGTTTCTGATCACTGAAGCATATTTTCGTGAATCATCAGCCACAGTTTCATGAACGAGGAGTTAGCTGGTGTGATGCAGCACACTTTCATAATGCTCATGCTTTTCATATGAATATAAAATGAATGACAGAAAAGAGATGAGTCTGCATGTTTTGTCATCTCTCTCTCTGGTATCATTTTGGAGAAGCCACATCGCTTAAATGACTGTTCCCTTGTGCGCCCGTCTACCGGTGGCTGTGAGTGGTGTGCTGTGCCGCACTCCTGTCAGCAGACCGAGGGAAGGCAGGGGACCGGGCAGGGAGACTGGCGGTCTTGGAGGAGCCTGGGTAGCCTCGGGGCGACACGCATTCCAGCAGGTCCTGTAGACTGGCCGTGGAGGAAGGTCAGGGACGCAGGCATTGTGCTGTTGCTCACCAGGCTCCGAACGGCTGGCTTCCTGGTCTAGAAAAGCCTCCGGCCCTGGGGCACAGCCAGGAGCGAGGCAGCGCGTGTGGGTCCCAGCTGAGTGAGCTAAGTTCCAGTCCCGCCGCAGTGACCAGAGAGGTCGAGGAAAGCAGGGCAGAAAGGTCCTCATGTGGACTGGGCCAATGTAGCGGGCAACGTGCTGAAGTACAACAGTTTTCTGGGCATGGGTGGCTGGGCCGGTCCCAGGCACCCCAGGAAGTAGGTTGAGAACACATTGCAGGTTCTACACCTGGATGGGGTGGAAAGCCCCTCTAGTTTGGCTAGAGATTATCAGAAGTGGCTCAGGACTTAGAGTAGAGGGAGGTCAATTTTGCTGAACTGGCAGGCAACAGTCCCCAGTGTTTACAGATGTGGCCAAAGACTAAGAATAAAAATGCAAGTGACTACAAGGGATGTTAATACGACACGCTTTTTTCCCAGTTATCAATCCTCCGAATCTCAGGGGCTCATCTAAGGAATAACACTAGAAGGAAATGAAAAGTGGCCAACAACACATTCCACAGGATACCTCTTCCAGGATTTTTCTTGATGCCTGTTCCTGAACGACACTGCCTAGGACGACTGTTCCCGTGGAGTGGAGGGAGACCAGAGGGAGCCTGAGGAGGGCTCCGGGCTGTGGTGGGGCTGTGCCTCCCGGCCTGGACGCCAGCCGTACTGACGCCCGCGTCCACGCAGACCCCCACGCACCCGCGTCACACCTCCACGGAGAAGAAAGGGAGGGGGAGGGAGGACCCGATCATAGTAAGGGGCTGCGGTGCAGCTGTTCACTGTGAATGCTCATGTTTGGAATTTATGTGCTACAAGATTTACCAGGAGGAAAAGGCGGAACAGCAGCAAAAAGAAACTCACTGATTACTTTCCCCAGGGAAATGGGGAAATTATCATTAACTTTCCCTAGGGTATAAATAGCTTAAAGATATTTCTGAGTTGTATATGGACTTTCTGATGGAAGGAAGTCCCAGATATAGAAAAAGATAACATTCCAAGTGTCTCCAGAATAAAATTTTGTTACAGAATTTTGTACCCCTCAATGCAGCAAGCCATTTGAGAAAAACGAAGACATGAAATAGTACATGGGAAGGCAGAACCCTAACGTTAGTGCCTGTCTAAGAATGCCCTCCAGTAGTGCCTGAGGTCACAGTCAAAGTTCCAGAAGGGCGAACATGCAGGCATACTCACAAATAGTCCCGCGGGACACAGCAAAGCAAACCCCAACATCCCAAGGCATTTGCTTGTAGAAGATTTATTTCTTTGCCTTTTGTTGCCCGGAAACACCAACATTTGGTGGGAACATCAAACACCGGGGAGGGAGGATGCAGAGCGCAAGTGGCTGGTAACTGTGTGAAGTCCTGCTGAGGCACCGCGGGCTTCTGCACCCTCCCACCTGCTTCCCTCCACCCTCCTCCCTTCTCTGAGGATCTCTTGGTTCCTCCCTTAGGTTTCTATGAATGGACTGACTCTGTGCGTACTAAGTGCAAAAGTTTAAAAAAAAAGTTGAAAAGAACAAAGCAAAGCTTCTGGGAAAAGGGCAGTAGACGGATTAGAAAATGCAGTAAGTTCATTCTTGCAGAAACGAGCTGTCTGATGGTGACCTCAACATCCATGCTTCCTGGATCTCTCTGGGGCTTTTCTTGGTAAGTCTTTATTGTCACAGCTAGAATCAGACTGAGCTTTTTATTCTTTTGGGAAAATGTAACAATTTCTAGATCATGAAGGATAAAAGAAGCTCATTCCTCACTAAGGCTCAGAGTGTGTGCTAAGACCCAGGGGACCAAGCTCACTCAGATAAGTGGTGCACGTGCGGCCGACACGTCCGCCCTGCACGTGTGTTCAGCGTTCCTTCCTCGCCTGGCAGATGCATGTGCCCATGCATCTCAGCATCCTGTTCTGATCTCAGGCCTCTGGTAGACCTCCAGTGGCCTTGTCCTGCACATGGACCGCACAGCCCTTGGCCATGAGACCTGCACATAGACTTCTGGGGCCCCCTCTCTGCATAGCTTCCTCCTCACCGATGGCCCACTCCATTCAGTCGCCCTCTCGGATCTCTGCCCTCAGCCAGCAGGCTGCTGTGTTCTGCCCGATGCCAGCTCTCTGTGCTATAATACTGGAACTGTTCCCAGCCCGCCAGCTGGTGGTCAGGGTATCGCCTCCTGTGTTTCCCTTTCTCGGGGATCAGTCCTGTGCTGTTTGTTGTCTAGAAATAAGTTCCATATGGGTAAGTTTAAAAACCAAAATTATAACATTATTAGGAAAATATAAACCCCGGTGTGGTGGCTCACGCCTGTAGTACCAGTGACTCGGGAAGCTTGAGCCCAGGAGGTCGAGGCTACAGTGAGCTATGATCGTGCCACTGCACTCCGGCCTGGGTGACAGAGAGGGACAGGACAGGAAAGGAAAGCATGGAAGGAAGGAAGGGAAGGAGCGAGGCAGGAAGATAAGACAGAATAGGTTTATAATCTTGAAGAAAGAAAGCCATCTAAGGATGGCTGAATGCAGAAAGCATCAAGGAAAGGCCTGAGAAACCATCCATTGGTAAAGGAAACTTAAAATTTTAAGTGTTTGTATGCCAAAATTAAAACCAGTATATATATGAGAAAGCGTGTGCAAATGACTAATATTCAGAATATATTCCTATAATCAATAAGAAAGAGATAAAGAACTGAAGTAAAAACTGGCAGAGGAATGAACCAATAATGCATTGAAGAGGAAAAAGAAATAGTCTGAAACATATGAAAAATGTTCAGTTTCACCAGAAAATAAAAATATTTTCACTCATAAATTGGTAAAAATAAAAAAACCTGTTATTAATAATTCATAGAGTTAATGAAGATGTGGGGAAATGGGTATTCTCATATTGGCCGATGGGAATATAAAGTGGTATAGGCTTGTAGGAACTGATCAATGAATTTAGTAAAGTCTCAGGATACAAAATCAATACACAGAAATCAGAGGCATTCATATGCGCCAACAACAATCTAATTGAGAACCAAATCAAAGACTCAATTCCCTTCACAATAGCAACAAAGAAATTAAAGTACCTAGGAATATACTTAACCAAGGAGGTAAAAGACCTCTACAGGGAGAACTATGAAACACTGAGGAAGGAAATAGCAGAGGATGTAAACAGATGGAAATCCATACCATGCTCGTGGATCAGCAGACTCAATATCATCAAAATGTCTATACTACCCAAACTGATCTACAGATTCAATGCAATACATATTAAAATCCCATCAGCATTCTTCACAGATATAGAAAAAATAATTTTACGCTTCGTATGGAACCAAAGACCCCAAATATCAAGAGCAATTCTAGGCAACAAAAACAAAATGGGAGGCATTAATATGCCAGATATCAAACTATACTACAAAGCTGTAGTAATTAAATCAATCTCGTATTGGCACAAAAATAGGAATATTGACCAGTGGAACAGATCTGAGAATCCTGATATAAAACCATCCTCATATAGCCATCTAATCTTTGACAAAGCAGACAAAAACATACGCTGGGGAAAAAGAATCCCTCTTCAATAAATGGTGCTGGGAAAACTGGATAGCCACTTGTGGAAGGCTAAAGCAGGACCCACAGCTTTCACCTCTCACAAAAATCAACTCATGCTGGATAACAGACTTAAACCTAAGGTATGAAACTATTAGAATTCTACAGGAAAAAGTTGGAAACACTCTCCTAGACATCGGCCTGGGCAAAGAGTTTATGAAGAAGTCCCCAAAGGCAATCACAGCAGCAACAAAAATAAATAAATGGGACATGATCAAACTACAAAGCTTCTGCACAGCCAAAGAAATAGTCATGAAAGTAAACAGACAACCTACAGAATGGGAGAAAATTTTTGCATCCTATTCATCCGATAAAGGGCTGATAACTAGAATATACTCAGAACTCATGAAAATCAGCAAGAAAAAATCAAATAACCCTATTAAAAAGTGGGCAAAGGACTTGAACAGAAACTTTTCTAAAGAAGACAGAATAATGACCAACAAACATATGAAAAAAAGCTCAACATCTCTAATCATCAGGGAAATGCAAATGAAAACCACAATGAGATATCACTTAACTCCAGTGAGAATGCCCTTTATCAAAAAGTCTCCAGATAACAAATGCTGGCGTGGTTGCGGAGAGAGAGGAACACTCCTACCCTGCTGGTGGGACTGCAAACTAGTTCAACCTCTGTGGAAAGCAATATGGAGATACCTTAAAGTGATACAAGTGAATCTACCATTTGATCCAGCAATCCCATTGCTGGGCATCTACCCAAATGATCCAATGACACTCTACAAAAAAGACACCTGCACTCGAATGTTTATAGCAGCACAATTCATAATTGCAAGGCTGTGGAAACAGCCCAAGTGCCCATCAATCCAAGAATGGATTAATAAAATGTGGTATATGTATACCATGGAGTACTATTCAGCTCTAAGAAACAACGGTGATATAGCACATCTTATATTTTCCTGGTTAGAGCTGGAACCCATACTACTAAGTGAAGTATCCCAAGAATGGAAAAACAAGCACCAGATATATTCTCCAGCAAACTGGTATTAACTGAGTAGCACCTAAGTGGACACATAGGTACTACAGTAATAGGGTATTGGGCAGGTGGGAGGGGGGCGGGTATATACATACATAATGAGTGAGATGTGCACCATCTGGGGGATGGTCATGATGGAGACTCAGACTTGTGGGAGGAGAGGGGAAAATGGGCATTTATTGAAACCTTAAAATCTGTACCCCCATAATATGCCGAAATAAAATAAATAAATAAATAAAAAAAGCATTTTTTTAAAAAATGAAAATATGATGTGATCAGTAATATCACAGATTACCTGTTGTAGAGGAATAGTCAGGACACACCTATAAGGATTGTCCCATCATTGTTCACAATGAGAAACTAGAGTTTTCTATCAATTAGGCTGAGTACACTTTTTTGTAAAATTTTTTACAAAAATAATCTATTACTCAGTTTTCTAATCTAATTCCTCTGAAGCTCATGGTTAAACTCTGATGTTCTGGTTTTTGCTGGATTTGCTATATGCAATAACTTCTAGATACTTGTTGTTTTCCACTAATTATTTGGTAAACGTTGACCTAGAGTTGGTCCTCTAGTCGAACCTATACTTTTCTACATTTTCGCTAACTTGGTCGAAGAAATCTGGGAAGGATAGAAAGAAATGAATAGATTCATGATCCAAAAAGGAACCAAATTAAGTGAGAGGCCATTTAATTCTTTTTCATCTCTGTGTGTATGTATTTCCATTTTCTACCACAAGCAGCTATTACTTTTACAATGAGGTTAAAATAACACACGTTATTAAAAATATTAATGACATCACACATAGAAAAAAATAAGCCAATGTAGATTCCAAGGTCATGTGAATTAAAGAGAATTCCGGTAATTATGTGATTCTGTGCTGAACAGATCCCGAGGAGACTCTCTGAAATCCTCCACTTGAGAGTGGGGTCTAATTCTCCTCCTGAGTCTGGAGGGAGCGCCTGGGACTTCCAAGGCCATTCACAAGAAGCCGTGCAGTCTCTGCCCAGGGCTCTTGGGACTCCCTGCGGGCCTTCACCACGGCAGGCGCAGCCGGCAGACTCGGCCTGCCCGGACCGCAGATCTGCGGGCAAAACAGACCTCGCTGCTACTCTCACGCTGCGTTTGGGATGGCTCGCTATGCCGCTGCAGGCGGCCGGAACACCCAACTCGCTGCTTTTGCGTCTGGGACAGGGGATGCGTCTCTGCGGCAGAGGATCCCAGCCCTTCGTCCCAAGCAGGCGGCCTGGGCGCCCGTGGAGCTGCCCCCGGCGTCCCAAGGGCCGCTGTGCTCGCTCCGTTGCCTTCTTAAGGCTTTAGTGGCGCATCATCTCCCAGTCAGTCTGACAACTTTACCTGTCTTTTAAGATTTAAAAAATGTGGACTTCACTCAACCTAGCCAGTGAAATGTCACCGATACTCCCAAATGTGAGCCGCAGGAGCCCCGCTGGCGCCGGCGCCGGCCTTCTCCCTGCACGCGCCCGCACCCGTAGGCCGGCCCGCCTGCGTCCTCCTCTCTCAAAACTTCCCTGGCTGCTCTTGTGTAGTCTTCCAGGTGAATTTTCAATTATAAAGGAAGCCTGTTGGGATTTTAATCAGAATTGCATGAAGTTTAGAGATCAGATTAATTTGGAATAATTCACATTTTAAACGATTCCTCCCTCTCTTTAACCCCACTGCAGGTGTGAAGGGCTTGCGACCGGGAGGAGCGCAGCAGAGGCCGCGGCCGGCCGGCCTAGGGAGGAGCAGCCTGGGCTTCCCAGGGCGAGGGCTGCAGGCGAGGCATGAGGCAGGGAGGGGCATGAGGCTGAAGGGGCAGGAGGCTGGAGGGGCAGGAGGCCAGAGGGGCAGGAGGCCAGGCCGGGAGGGGCAGGAGGCCGGAGGGGCAGGAGGCTGGGAGGGGCGGGAGGCCAGGTCGGGAGGGGCAGGAGGCCAGGCCCGGAGGAGCAAGAGGCCGGAGGGGCAGGAGGCCAGGCCGGGAGGGGCAGGAAGCCGGAGGAGCAGGAGGCCAGGCTGGGAGGGGCAGGAGGCCGGAGGGGCAGGAGGCCGGAGGGGCAGGAGGCCGGAGGGGCAGGAGGCCGGAGGGCACGCCCTTTGTGGGCAAGAGCCTGTGGCAAGAGGGCTGCCCTCTGGCTAGAGATGCGCAGGCAGAGCGGCGTCCAAGGACACGCCGGGCACGGGAGCTGCTGAGGCTGTCTCTCGTCTTCCTAACACACACCCAGGAGCCCACCGCAGCGCTTCTCCCGAGGTCTCTGGCCTGGCGTCTCCACGCGGGGTCCGGTCTCGCTGGGAGCGCCAGCCCTGCTGCCCGGCAGCTCCCGGCCTCGCGGGGGCGAGCACAGCAGCGCCGGCTCTCCAGGGTGTCCTGTGAGCCGCCTCCTCTGCACCCCCGGCCTGGGTCCCACACGACTGTCTGCCACCTGCTGTCCCCAGGACCATGCTCCCGTCTCTACAGAGACACTTCTCTGGAACTTTCTTCCATTCCTTTAAACTACTGCCTTTCTGTTGAGTTGATTACCTCATTTTCATTAATTTCACTCTTTTCCTTTGCTCACTCTTTCTAAAAAAGGCCATGGTTATTCAGTTTGCTGGCTCTACTCACCCTAGGATCGAGCGGTCACCCACTTTCCGGGCTCAGGAACCCGTCAACACCGTGCTCTTCCCAGCCGGGCCTTAGGCCTCACGAGCCGCCGCGCTGATGGCCCTCTCCCGGCCGGGAGCGGAGTCTAAGCCGCGGCTCCTTCATCTGTGATTACAGCCGTGGGCCTTTCCGGAGGTCGCTGTGCAGGTGCGGACCCACAAACCTGAGGCGGCGTGGCCCCCGCCCGCAGGGCCGGCCGCTCGCAAGGCCGGGCGGCAGGACTGCGTGAGCCGCGGGTGTGGAGCTGCCGTGCGGCCCGTGGGCTCTGGGGACTCAGCTGACACAGTCTGTGTCTTTCTTCTGCAGTGAGTCCTCACATCACGTCGTCGGTGGGTTCTCGCAGCCCGCGTCTTCGCGAACGAGGCCGTTCCGTGCGACAAGCCATCTCACCCCAGCTGGCGGCTTGAGCAAGAGGAGTCCTCAAGGCACGCAGCGGGTCGCGTGGCCGTGTCTCCAGAGCCCGCGGCGCCCTCAGCCGGGACCTGCTGCGCCGCAGCTGGGATTGCGTGGAGCCCCGGCAAACCAAAATGCACACTCCTCTGAAGAGGAGAAAGCCGGCCCAAACCGCGGCCTGCTCCTTCCTGGTCACTGAGGCGGTGCGTGACTGTGACTTCAGGAAAATGACTCGATTTTTCTGGCCTTTAATTTCCTCATCTCTCAATGGAGCGGCTAGATTATACTAGTGGTTTGGAGATAAAGAGCTACAGAAACTGTTCTTCCAACTGATGTTTCTGCAGGAGCCTTTTTAGAAGCAGGGTTTGACAGCCACAGGACTCTAGGCCTTGCCTTTCACACACTTCCACGTTTATCTTGCACCCTCCAGCACAACAGCCGCCAGACATGCGCCACTTAAATCAGTTAAAATGAAATAAAGTTAAGAGCTCAGTTTCTCAGTCATGTTAGTTCCCTTTTAAGTGCTCAACAGCCGTATGTGGGCTGACAGGGCTGCACAGCACAGATCTAGGACATTCCCACCCTCTCGGAAAGCTCCATGGGACAGCACTGCCCTGCACTTGCACGGACAAGTGTGTCGCCTATCTTTATGTGAATGTGGTGTGCTCGGCAGCCACCAAGATACACAGAGGTGGGTCCTTTCACCGCATATGGAGTCACCGTGCAGAGACTAAGCCACTGGATCCTGACGCCAGATAGTGGAGCCAAACCCCGCGCAGGCCCTTGCTGGAGTAGGGCTCTGAGCAACCTCCTGCCTCTCTGCACCTTAGCTTCCATGACCCCAAGTGAAAGGGACACCCTGCACACCCACAGCACTGCAGGCAAGATGCAGGGTGCACGTGACATGTCAGGCACTCAGAACAGGGTCTGTCACACGGTAAACATCCAGTAAGCGCAGCTTTGCTTTTCATCGCCACTGCCTGCTTCACTCTTTTCCAGTGGCACATGCTGGTCCCTCACGTGGACAGATATAACTGCCCATTTAGGTTGTTTCCAGTCTCTTGTTATTATAAAAAGGGTTGTAATTATCTCTACGTGCACATCTCTGCAGACATGTGGAATAAATTTTGATAGATTCTGCCTAATTGCTCTCAAACAGGTTCTTCTACTGAAGCCCCTGCCTCCAACAATGTGCATGGCCTTGGGTTTGTCCACATTGCGGCCTGTTCAGCCACTCTGCTCTGTGTCCATCTGCCCCTCTTCTCCTTCCCTCCCCCCACCCCATCCTCCACTACTTGCCACTATTGCTTTAAAACCCTTAACGACTCTGTAGCCAACACGATTAGACCTGTATTCCTAGCCTGTGTGGAAAGATGAAAGTAATAAGATAATCCACAACGTTTTAGAGAACAATGTCATTTTGTTCACACTATGATGCCCTAGCACTCCAAGGAAAATATTTTCAATAAATTTTTTAAAAAAAGAAATGGCACATCTGTATTTTTGGATGCATCTAGTAAGAAAATAATATGTAATAACTGAAGCATTTATTCTAAGAAATTTTGTTCCAAGACCAATTTTTATACTAGACAAATAATGGTCAACCCAATGTTCATCTCCCACCCTCAGCCTCTGAAGTCATAAGCTTCTTGTGGCTACAGTACTTCTTTTTCCCCAATGAACATTTCATGAGTAAGTGAATGGAAAAAATGCTCAGTGCAGATTTCCTTGGGACTGTAATTATCTAAACAGACTAACATGCTATCCTGGGGTGGGGGGGAAGAGAGGGAAGAGCAGCAACTATCAAGGCCTCTTTTTTGTTTTTGTTTTTTTTCTTGAGACGGAGTCTCACTCTGTTGTCAGGGCTAGAGTGCTGTGCCATCAGCCTAGCTCACAGCAACCTCCAACTCCTGGGCTCAAGCGATCCTCCTGCCTCAGCCTCCCGGGTAGCTAGGACTACAGGCATGCACCACCATGCCCGGCTAATTTTTCTATATATTTTTAGTTGGCCAATTAATTTCTTTCTATTTTTTAGTAGAGACTGGGTCTCGCTCTTGCTCAGCCTGGTTTCAAACTCCTGACCTTGAGCGATCCACTCACCTCAGCCTCCCAGATCTTTTTCTTAATGATGGCAAGATAATGGCTTTGGTGTTTAATGTCATGCTGCAGTACCAGCTGCAGTACACATGCCCTCTGCCCAGGACACATGGCCCATGGGAGGAAAGAGGACAACACCACTTTTAATCACCCTCAGCCCCTAGTAGGAGGAAACATTCTTACATTATTTTATTTTGAAAATCTGGTTTTAGTTTCCTAAGGCTGGTTTGACATGTAACAGTTTTATACATATGGGAAAAAAGTATAAATTGGCAATGCTTTGAGGCAGATCTTGGAAAGCCAAAAGATAAAGCTAACTCATTGTAAGAACCCTTACTGGGTCTAACACAGTCTCCAAAAGCCCACCTCAGCCAGTGCCCCGTCTCCTGCACTTGGGAGGAGTCTGGCAGAGCTGAGTTCCTGGGCTCTCCGGCTGCACCTCCTGGCGGCCTGGTCCCAGGGCCACACTGTCTCCGTGCTCCCTCCAAGCCCACCCACATCTCTGCTCCGCCCTGCCTGCCTGTCACCCTCCTACCTCTAATGCTTCAATGTGGACCCTGGTGCCTTACAGAGCCTTGGAACCCAAGTCCTTAGAGACCAAAACACTCTTTCCTTTTCCTTAAGGACATGGAAGATTTAGTCTTCCAGGAGGAGGTGGCGGTGGTGCTGGGGAGGGTAAGGGGCTGTGTCTCATACCTGTGAGAAAAGGGTGGGCACATAAAACCCTCTTAGAAAAGGCTGGACTTTCCACCCAGGCTGGGAATGTGAGTCACCTGTGTTGGCTACAGAGCTGTTAAGGGTTTTTACTGCAATGGTGGCAGGTGGTCCACCAGCCAGAGCTGCAGTCCTGGATGACAGAGGAGGACACAACCAAGCGGGGGGAGGTGCGGATGGATGCAGAGCAGAGCAGCTGAACTCTCTGCAAAGTGAGGAAGCTCAGGATACCATGCTGTGTGAAACGAGCCTGTTGCCAAAGGGCAAATACTATGTGAGCCCACTTACTCGAGCTGCCTGGACCAGGTAAACTCGCAGAGACAGTAGAATACAGGTCATGGGGCGGTGCGGGGCAGGGGTAGCGGCAGCTAGTGTTTAAAGGGCACAGAGATTCAGGTGGGATAATGAAAAAGGTTTAAATAGAAAGCAGTGACGGCTGTACAACAATGTCAATGTGCTTAATGCCACTGAACTAGATACACTTAAAAATAGTTAAAAAGGTTAAAACTTTAGGTTATGGGTATTTTACCACAATAAAAAAAATCAGATCAAGAACAAGAAGAAGAAAGCTGAAGGGATAGGTCATACTCCATCTTCCCCAAAACACCAAGAAAAGTAGCTAAATGAATTTCATTTGACAAAAATGAATCCTCCCTGTGTAATTACACTGCGTAATTACTCCCTGTGTAATTAAAAGCACTTTCAAGAATATCCTGGACTACGTAGCAAACTGGTAAGTAATCTTGCCCAACCAGAGTGAAAAGTTTCCAATTATCCCTTGGAATCTCTGTTGAGTCGTTCTGCTTGGCTGTGGAATCTTCTGGTGCTGCACAGCCCAGTCTCCCAGCAGGATCACAGCCCGAGAGTCACAGTCCAGGCACAGTTCACGTGTGCTGGCGACAAGGCATCAGACCCCAGGGACACCTGGTGCCGACTGCGGGGCTGGCCAGGTCATGCCCACCCCTCTCTGCACGCCCACTGCATCACCACCTTTGTCCTTCTGGGGTGCTGTCTGACCTTGTCTTCTCCAGCTCCCAAGGGTCCTGACCTGTTCTTGGGTCTTTGGAGTCCCTCTTATGCCTAGGCACAGCACTGGCTTTGAACTGCTCCCTTGGTGACAGTGACCTGGTGACATGGCCTGTGCACACAGCCCTCCCTCCATCTGCCCCAGACAGCATCCCTGGCAAGAGCAGCCAGGCTCAGCTCTGCCTCCAACTCTGATTTCTGACCCCGAAGGAGCCAGCTGAATCATTTTGCATTAATGCAACTGGCTCTTTCACACTACATTTATAAAATGTGTTCCATTGGAAAAGACCTATTGATTCTGCTCATGTCCAACAAAAACTGACTTTGGCTTTAAACTTCGTGATTACTCCACTGCGATCACCCTGAAGAGTCTCCAGTGAGATGGCCTGTGCTTTTCCACCGTCTCAACCCACCTGTCTCCCCATGCCCTGCAAGAGGATGGACTGCTGGGAAGGAGGAAGCCAGTGAGAGGAGGACATTGAAGACATAAAACAAGAGGCAAGAGTGAGATAAAACACATGCTGACAGCCGAGAAAACATGAATGGGCTACAGTGCCCTGTTAGAGGAATTTTCAGCTTACATGTAAAGCTAAACTATTTATAAGAAATAAACCTAAAATAAGCGACTAAGAAAAGCTGAAAATAAGGGAAGTACAAAGATACATCATGCAAGTAACATAAATGCAAATTCATAAATCACACAAAAAGCACAAATGGGAACAGGAATATTGGTATTGTGGAATATAAACTTCTAGATTAAAAGGATTAACTGAAATAAAAGGAAAAACCACCAGGAAGGCATGAGAGCTGGAACCTTTAAGTATGGTTCAAAATATCTAGAGCACAAACACTTAGACATCAAAGCTTTTGACAAAAACCACAGTCAGGTAAGGGACTTTGCCACATCACACTCAGAATCCCCCCACGGGGGCGTGCTCCAGCCCCCAGCAGGCTCAGGCCGGAGCAGGTGCTGAGCACGCCCCCTCAAGTTCCCTTGAGAATACATGAGGCTTCAACTTACCTCTGTGCAACTAAAAGGTGCTTTCAGGAGACTTTCCCACAAGAAAAGAGCATGCAGTCCAGAGGAAAATTTAAGTCTTCACTTTTAGAGAATACAAAAATTGGAACTTTTTTTTTTTTTTGAGACAGAGTCTCACTTTGTTGCCCAGGCTAGAGTGAGTGCTGTGGCGTCAGCCTGGCTCACAGCAACCTCAATCTCCGGGGCTCAGCGATCCTACTGCCTCAGCCTCCCGAGTAGCTGGGACTACAGGCATGCGCCACCATGCCCGGCTAATTTTTTCTATATATATTTTTAGTTGGTCAATTAATTTGTTTCTATTTGCTCAGGCTGGTTTCGAACTCCTGACCTTGAGCAATCCGCCCGCCTCGGCCTCCCAAAGTGCTAGGATTACAGGCGTGAGCCACCGCGCCCGGCCAAAAATTGGAACTTTTAAATGAGAGGTTTCCTAACTTCTACCCAACAAGTTTTTAAAAACTTCAGGCTTTCATTTGTCAGAGTCTTATACCCAGAGTATAAAACATTCCCTTTGGCTAAGAATTAATTCTGTCACCAATCCTACTAGAGCAGATGGTAAAATACCTACTGCTTTTTTTGACTATGTACATATGATACAGGGTTTTCATGCTTATTAACATTGAAACAAAAAACCCAGGACTTATTAACACAAAACTTCATTTATATATACCTAAACCAAGCAACAAGCCAAATGTCCTTTCATTGCTGAGTATAGAAAATAATATGCTTCAAAAGGCAAATTAAAAAAAAAAGAATAAAGAAAAAAATATGCTTCGTATTAAAGAAAAACCATAATCAATCAGAGATTTCCCCCAGGAACAGCATTCCACAACACAGTTGGATTTTTGCCCCAGACACATAAGAATGTTTCCCTAATAGGAAATCTATTTATGTTATTAATTATATAAATGAGTTAAAAGACAAGAAACCATATGAATAGCTCCTTAAATGCCAAAAAGGAATTTGATATAATTCTTATCTATTTATGGATTAAAAAAACTTCTCAGTAAACTCAGAACAGGTGCAAGCTTCCTTTAGTTAATAGAGCATAAGAAAACAATACAAAAATCATATTTAAAGGTGAGATACTACTACTAACAGACAACAAAACAAGAATATCCACCAACAATAGTATTATGCAACATTGTCCTGGGCTTTCATAAATGCAATAAAATAAAAAAGTACAAGAGGTATAAGTATTGGAAAGAAGAAACAATTATCATTATTTATAATAGTTTGCTGAGAAAACTCTAGAAAATCAATAAGTATAATCAAATAATAAAAAATGCCAAGGCATAGAAATCATCACAACGACGCTAACACAATACTAGCTGACAGTCAGGGAGCCCCCTGCGCCCAGCACACTGTGAAGTGCTCATGCCCACAGCCTTAGTGTTCTGCTTAGCAGCCACCTGTGGCAGAGGCCAGACCAGTAGAACAGCAGCAGGGAAGACAGAAGGTCCAGACACACTCTCCAGTCCCATTGATGCCCTTTAACAATGGTAGTTAAAGAAATATTATTAAATAAATGATCCTAAAACAAATAGCCATCCATCTAGGGAAAAAAAAGGAAAAACTCTACCTAATAAAATAAACACAGGTCAGGTAGGGTGGTTCACACCTGTAATCCTAGCACTTTGGGAGGCCGAGGCAGTAGGATCGCTAGAGCCCATGAGTTTAAGACCAGCCTGGGCAAGAGCAAGACCCCATCACTACAAAAAATAAAAAATAGAAAAATTAGCCAGGCATGGTGGAGTATACCTGTAGTCCCAGCTACTTGGGAGGCTGAGGCAAGAGGAACATTTGAGCCAGCAATTTGAGGCTGCAGTGAGCTATGACAATGCACTGCACTCTAGCCTAGGCAACAGAGTGAGATGCTGTCTCAAAAAGAAAAAAATGTATATGTATGTATACATATATATAGTATATATGAAAAGAATATCTGGAATCTCTATGATAGTAAAGGTTAAAATTCTTAAGAAATAAAAAAAAGAAGAGCTCTGAGACTTCCAGGTAAAGACAGCAGACTGAACACATGCACTTAAGATTTCATTCCCCCTTGAAGCCCCACTAAAACCACAGAAAAGGAATGTTCCCCTCACCCCAAGGCATTAATTGACAAGCAAAAAGGGAACAACAAAGGAAACAGAATTTTGGCAGTTGAAAAGTCAACAGACTTGCTCTGTATAATCAGCACAAACCAAAGAAAGGGAGGGAGGGAGGGAGGGAGGGAGGGAAGGAGGGAGGGAAGAAAGATCAATAGACAAGAAGTAACTAATATGACAGACCTAAGAAAACTAAATCCAAAGTCTGCAGCAGGGAAAAGCAAAACATCACCCTGATGCACAGTGCAAGTCCTCAAGAGGCTCAGGAACCTGCTGGCATGAGGGACTTTGGGTGGGGGGATGAATGTGCTTAAAACGGGAGGCCGTGGCTGGAGACCTGTCTGCAAAGCGGCCAGAGCCCCAGACACCTCTCTTCTCTGCACACTCAGAGGATAAAACAGGGGCTACAGGCGGGGGACTGAGCACAGTGGAGCATAAGTGACATACTGAAAACTGGGGTTAAGTGAATTTACCTGGTGAGGCTGACCCAGTCCACTAGGCTCTCCCCACCTAAATCCTGGCTGCAAGGCCAGGGACCTCGGGCAGAGGACTGGAAGGTCCTTCTCTGGGGAGTCTGATGAACCATAGAAGAAGGACCTAAAGAAACAGACATGCCACAGGAACAGCACCCTGCAGTGAAGACCACAGTCACAGCCTCACACAAGATGCTAGCAGCTGCCAGTCAGCCCTGTCGAGCCCCACACTCAAACGTGGGCAGTCACATCTCTAGCATAAAGATAGAGACCAAATGATACCAACAAAACAAAGGAATCTGTAGGAAACAATCTAGGTAGGGAGAAGATTTGGAAATAAAAGCAACCTGTTATCTTCAGTGAAATTCATAGATAATATTACACCTATGAAACAAGAATAGGGTGCTACAAAAAGTTCATGGTACAAAATCAAAATCCTAGAAGTTAAAAATATGATAACAGGCCGGGCGCTGTGGCTCACGCCTGTAATCCTAGCTCTTGGGAGGCCGAGGCGGGCGGATTGCTCAAGGTCAGGAGTTCAAAACCAGCCTGAGCAAGAGCGAGACCCCGTCTCTACTATAAATAGAAAGAAATTAATTGGCCAACTGATATATATATATATAAAATTAGCCGGGCATGGTGGCGCATGCCTGTAGTCCCAGCTACTCGGGAGGCTGAGGCAGGAGGATCGCTTGAGCCCAGGAGTTTGAGGTTGCTGTGAGCTAGGCTGACGCCACGGCACTCACTCTAGCCTGAGCAACAAAGTGAGACTCTGTCTCAAAAAAAAAAAAAAAAAAAAATATGATAACAAATATATACAATGGAATTTTATTCAGCCTTAAAAGGCAGGAAATTCTGCCACATAGTATAATATGGATTAACCTTGAGAACATTATGCTAAGTAAAATAAGACAGTAACAAAAGGACAAACACTGTATGACTACACTTACATGAGGTTCCTAGAGCAGTCAGATTCACAGCGACAGGAAGTAGAATGGCGGCTGCCAGTGGCTGGGGGAAGGGGGGTAGGGCGTTGGTGTTCAATCGGTGCAGAGCTTCAGCTTTGAAAAACGAAAAAGTTCTGGAGATTGGCTATACAACGATGTGAACATACTCTACTGAATTGTATGCTTAAAAATGGTTAAGATGGTAAACATTATGTGTATTTCACCACAATTAAAAATAAAAAATTGAAATGATACAAAAACAAAAAACAAAAAAAGATAACACATGTGAAATGAAACATTTAATGGAATTAGGAAAATTAAGTTAAGAAAGCCTCCCAGCAGACTGTAAGGCAAAGAGATGGAAAACAGGAATAAAAGGATATGGTAATTAGGGGCCAGGCCCAGGGGAGTTCCAGAAAACTAAAGCAGAGAATTGCCAATGAAATAATCCAAGACCCTAAAGACGTGAATTAATTACCTTATTGAAAGGTGCCCAGCATGACAGAAAAGAAGAAAATCAGGCCCGGCACGGTGGCTCACGCCTGTAATCCTAGCACTTTGGGAGGCCGAGGCGGGTGGATTGCTCAAGGTAAGGAGTTCGAAACCGGCCTGAGCGAGACCCTGTCTCTACCAAAAATAGAAAGAAATTAATTGACTAACTAAAAATATATATACAAAAAATTGGCCGGGCATGGTGGCGCATGCCTGTAGTCCCAGCTACTCGGGAGGCTGAGGCAGGAGGATTGCTGGAGCCCAGGAGTTTGAGGTTGCTGTGAGCTAGGCTGACGCCACGGCACTCACTCTAGCCTGAGCAACAAAGTGAGACTCTGTCTCAAAAAAAAAAAATCAGATACACAGCGCAGAACTAGACCGCGGGAGGCCAGCCGCAGGAGCTTCTGCAGAGGAAGAGGCCATCAGGGGCCGCGGCGGGCTGGAAGACCAGGGGGCGCCCACGCGGTTATGAAGGGAAATACTTTCTACCTAGAATTTTATACTCAATGAAACCATCAAGTATCAGGGTAAATAAAGATGCAAGGCCAGAAAACGTTACCTTCTATGAACCCATCCCCAGGAAGACGCTGGAGGAAAACCAAACAAGAGCAAACAAAGAGAACAGGACGCGGGAAACCCGAGATGGACTCGGGGAGGCAGGAGGGCCAGAGGTCGCCGCGCGGCGCCCCGCAGAGAGCTTGAGGTTGCGTCCGCGACATTTACAGAGAAAACTAAGTAAACAAACAAAACTAGACAAGTTTAAGTGTAGGGGAACTAATGGCTGTGCAAAATAAAATTTAACTACAGCATATGCGACTACCTGGCTTATCTGCCAGTAACATTTGTGTCATCTCCTCGTGAACTCCAGATATCCACGGCGACGGTGAGAGAAGGGGAGACAGGAAGCACGCAAAGGTGAAAAAGAAAGCAATCCTCATCTTTTAGAGAAGAGCAAAATATAATATTTAAAATAGAAACCAAACACAGCTGCTGTACGCGCTCTTCAGCCCCGCAGAGGGCGCGCGGAAGGGCCGGCCGCTCCCTCGGCGTCTGCGCCCCGCGGCCCGCTCGGCTCTGATGGGGGGCAGAGCCCAACGCAGCCCCAAACAGCTGTCACGAAATTTCAGGAAAAAAGATGAACATACAAATAGGAAAGCGAAGCAGCTGGGCCGGTAATTCCCAGAAATTTATAAATGATTAACAAACTGATCATCAGTAATGAAAAAGGAAAAGAAATGTCATTTTCTCCTCTCAGGCTGAAGAAGATCAAAAGAGCACACGTCCCCAGCAATGGAGAATGCACAGTCTCGTTTACTGTATACAGACACACAGAAACACCCTTCCTCAAAGCAAATTCACTTCTAGGAACTTATTTATAAAAACTTAGTACGACTTCACAAATACTTAGCACAAGCATAAAAAGGCATGGTAAGTGATACTCATCATCATGGTACTTTTTTCCATCGAGGTAAAATTCACATAACCCAAATTCACCATTTTAGGCCAGTTCAAAGTGTCAGTTCAGTGGTCTTCAGTATATTCACAATGTTGTGCGACCAGCACGACTGCCGCATTTCTGAGCATTTTCATCACCCCAAGAGAAGACCCCTGTCCACTAAGCAGCCACTCACTGCTTCTGCCCCCCCTTCAGCCCCTAACCTGCGCTCTGTTCCCGTGGAGCTGCCCCTTCTGACCACACGACACGTGGCCTCAGCCCAGCTTCTTGCACGTAGCACAATGCCTTCAAGGGACACTCGTGTTGTAGCGTGTCAGTGCCACACTCCTTGTCACAGCTAAATGAAAAGTCCAGGTTCAATGATCGCTAGGAGGACACACAGGACCCAGCATCAAGCCACAGCTATTCACAAATTTATTGCAGCCCAAGGACACTGAACCAAAATCAGCAGAGCAAAACGGCTCTCGGGTGAAGTCCAGAGGAAACCAGGCACAAACTTCCAAGGGTCCTCTCCAGTGGAGTCACAGGACACATTTAATTCCTCTAGCAAGGAGCAGTGACAACACATGTGAAATGCCACCACCAGGAACTCATTAGGGACTCAGTGCCTAGGGTTTTTATGGGGGGCTGGTCACATAGGCCCTTTCTGCCTAGCCCATAGCACATTCCAGTGTCCCAGAAGGAAAGCAGCTGTTCAGCATAAACCACACATCTGTACAATCAGTACAGGCACACTGAGCCACTCTTATCGGGGCTGGTGGGAACCCTCCCATAATCCAAGTTCCCAGACACCAACCCAGGGCCAGCCTTGCAAGTGGCTTTTCTAAGGACGACCACTCCAGGCCTGCTATGTTAACTCTATTCTGCACAATGACAGAAATCATGGCTACCAACAGCATCCAGGTTTTATTATTATAGTCTTTCGGTTTTATTTCTAAAATTCCTGGGAAAGAGGCAGGTGGTCCCAGCTTAGACTTGTGGCTGCTTTTTTGGTATTCACATAGATGAAGGTGGGAGGACAAGTCCCTCCCTACCTGCTGTGCAAACAATCTGACAGGTCTCTCTTCGCCCTTGCATATTTTTGCAAAGAAAAATCTTTTGTGGGCTGGGTATGGTGGCTTATGCCTGTAATCCTAGCACTTTGGGAGGCTGAGGCAGGAGGATTGCTTGAGGTCAGGAGTTCAAGACCAGCCACAGCAAGAGTGAGACCTGATCTCTACTAAAAAAATAGAAAGAAATTAGCTGGGCAACTGAAAATAGAAAAAATTAGCCGGGTGTGGTGGCGCATGCCTGTAGTCACAGCTACTTGGGAGACTGAGACAGGAGGATCATTCAAACCCAGGAGTTTGAGGTTGCTGTGAGCTAGGCTGATGCTACGGCACTCTAGCCTGGGCAACAGAGTGAGACTCTGTTTCAAAAAAAATAAAAAGAGAGAGAAAAAAAGAAAAATGTTTTGTACCTCTGGGCGTGCACACACAGATGAGGGTGGGAGAGGGTGTGGCAAACCATGCTGGCTCCTGAGAGAAAGCCAGCTGTACACATGGGCCACCAGGAGAGGGCTGCGTGTCCCTCGCAGCCTGGGAAATGGTCTTTCACGTTTATTTTCCAAACACTCTACTGCTGCCTCAGGTTGTAAGACAATGCCTGTGCCATTTAAAATGTCTTCACAAATCTGTGCCATGAGCAGACAGTGGGTGGAAAGGCCTCAGTGGAGTAGAGGCCTGCAACGACGCTCACTTTCTACTGAGGATCTATCTTCACACTGAAGTCGGGGGAAGACCGCTCTGACGACAGTAACTCAGGCCAAGTTTTTAGGCTCTTTGAATTGTACATGTAGCCCTCAAGAGACCTGTCTCAAAGAAGAAAACAACAAATAGAGCCCTAAGTGGCTGGTCCCTCACAGGCTGCTTGCTGTCGGAGGAGCATGTATCAGTGCTCCTGTGTGCAAACCCAGAGATAAAAACGGAAGCTGCCTGCAGTGAGGTGTTCTCTCCAGATTCGAAACAAGATTCAGTTTGGACAACATAAAGACCGATTTTTTCCTCCAAAGGAAGAGAAGATATAGCTCCTAGCTGACAGGTTAAAAATGAGTTCGAAGGTGTTTGTTAGTCCCTTAATGACAGTACAGGTATCCCTTGCTATCTGAATTCTTACAATACAAACTCAAAAACTAAATAGATTCAAATAAATTTCCAAATAAATCCATTGCTATCTGAATTCTTACAATACAAACTCAAAAACTAAATAGATTCAAATAAATTTCCAAATAAATCCATTGCTATCTGAATTCTTACAATACAAACTCAAAAACTAAATAGATTAAGATAAATTTTCAAATAAATCTATTGCTATCTGAACCCTTCCTTCTTACTATCTGAACCTTTCCTTCTTGCTGTCTGAAATGCAAGAACCAAATAAGATTTGAATAACAGAAGATACCCATATATATCTTCATCTAACAGAGGAGTCAGCAAATTTTTCTATAAGAAAGGGACAAATTGTAAATAATTTGTTTTTCAGGTCATCTAGCCTAAAGGTCTCGGTTGCAACTACTCAGTTCAGCAGCTGCAGCAAAAAAACCCCAGCTATAGACACTGGGTAAACAAACTCATGGGGCTGTATTCCTATAAGACGTCATTTATAGAAATGCGTGGTGGCCTGGATTTGGCTCCTGGGCCACAGTTAGCTGACCCTTCATCTGAGTCGAGACTTTAGTCTAGTTTAATGGTATCAGGCCCATATTATTACTATTTCAAATGGCAAAAGCTTTGAGGATATAAAACGTTCAGTTTTACTATCTGTAGGAAATAAGAAGGGACCATGCTAAAATGAGAAAGATCTCAGTTATATATGGCACTTGCAATTCAGGCTAAGGAAATTTTAGGTATACCACTTAGAAAAATGCTGTTTTTTCTGAAAAATGTTTTATCAATCTTTTATGTTTATATGTTAACCTAAAAAGATGCAGTTTAAAAAGAAATAACTCACTCAATTGTCGCATGGCTGTGAAGTGGGATAGCAGAGCTGCGACCGGACCCCAACCTGGCAGCCCTTAAAGCCCATTCCTACCACTGTAGTTCCGGAAGAGCCACTCTCCTCATATGTTTTATTTTTCTATTTTAAATTTCTTCTCAGAAAGGACCTGGTTTAATTATTGACATTTTTATGGACTCTTCCCTCAGACTTTGCACCTGCAAATTATATGTCATAATATAACATTCTACACAAAGATGATATTTGGGTTATGGACCATAGTAAAGTGAATACTTATGAATCCCACCTCTCAAATACAAACTAGATTACCAATACTTTGCATCTACATGTTTTACCTCAATTATTTTTTACCTCAATTATTTTTTAATACATGTATATGATTTTTAAGGTTATACCTTGATAAGGTTTATAACTTAAATAGCAGTTCCTACCCCACCCTGACCTGCCCTTCCTGACATCTTTCTGCTCCCCTTACTTAAGCTCTTTGAACTGATTTTTAAAATAAATAACTTATTGAAATACAAGTCACGTACCATCATAAAGTCTACTCTTTTACAATGTACTATTCAGTGGTGTTTAGAATACTCACAAAGCTGTGCCTGCTACTATCTACTT